CCGGGAGCCGTCTCGGGCGCGGGTCTTGGAGTTTTGGAGTCTAGCATTATTAACAACGAGTCGTCGCTAAAAGTGAGACCTGACTGACTTCGACTACAACATAGTATAGTAGTCCTTCTGATATATAAGACAGCAGCTTGGAATGCCCTTCCAGATGGGGTTCTACTTCTACCTGCGGGGCCTGACGCGGCTTTGACTATAGTGGAATTGTTTCAATACCACTCTTTCCAACCAGACAGACAATGTGCTTTCATATACAAAACAAAAATAGAAAAAAAAAAAAAAAAAGGATAGCTACTACAGTTCAACTGAACGTAAAGATATGACTAGGTTTTATGGATTCCATGCTACCGCGGGTAGACTTGTATGTCCTTAGAGTCACATAGACAGACAACATGGACCCGGAGGAGGATGACAAGTATCAACTCGCTCTCTGTCTATCATACTCGACGAAGGAATGAAGTAGCTAGACTGAAAGGAGAGGTTTAGAATATTATACCGGAACAAAGTGAGAGGTTATGCAATCTAGTCAATTGAAATGAGAGGTTAGAATATGCCCGGCTTAAAGGGCAAGGGGAATAGGCATGAGACCGAGTCACATACAAACAACAACCACTCATATGGGAGGAGAGGAAAAGGATCAACCCACTCTCTGCTGACAGAGAGCGGATATACATACATTGGAGTGTAACGTTTTGAATATCCTGGACAATCGAGCGGTCATTTGGGTGCACAGATATAAGTAAGTTTTTAATGCAGACTCGAGAATATAAACAATCAGTGTCAATAACTTGAGAGGTTTAGTTTGCAAGAAAACCTACTAATTCGATGCTAAGGGCGGGAGTGCCTTGTTCCGAAGTTTTTTTTTGTACTTTTTAAATTTTCAGGTTATTTTTATCGGTAGATCAAGGGTTTCACGTTAGGTAAAGAATTGTTAATAATGGTCGAACAAAGTACATAGTCAAAGAACTTTAAAAGCCCAAAGGTAATTGGTTATCCATCCTGACATTTTCTTCTATAGTTAGGTAGAACCTTTCAATTCAAAACATTACTAATGGAGTTGGGCTTGCATTCCTCGGTTGCAAAGGCCCAAGGCCGCACCTCATCTGTTTGCCAAACTGTGTGCGAACAAGATTGCAGAAAAACTGCAAATACCGACCAACTTCTGACTTAATTCTGATGAGATAAACCCAAACACCACGGCTAAAATCATCTACAATGGTCAAGAAGTAATGTGCACCACTGAGAGAAGGAGTATGATAACCACCCCAAATATCCAGATGTAACATCTCAAAACACGCAGACGTTCGAATCCCACTAACAGGAAAGGGGGTTCGTACTTGTTTAGCACGAGAACATGAATGACAAAGAGTATTATCCGAAGGTACTGAGAAAGATATAACTTTGCTAAGCTGAGAGAGAACAAATGTCGATGGGTGCCCCAGACGGGCATGCCACAAAGTTCCTGGAAGCTCTGAATTCCGTGCAACTGCATTCGCTCGAGTCCCACGACACCCAAATAAGTATAAACCATCACGAATCTCCCCCTTCCCAATCACGTTCTTGGAGTGTAAGTCCTGTATGATACAGAAATCATAAAAAAAAATCAAAGCCACATTATGTTCCTGACATAGCCGACTAACTGACAGCAAGTTGCAGCGAAACTCTGGAACGTAAAGCACACGACTAAGAACCAGCTTATTGTCAAGCTGAACAGAACCAATTCTCTTAACAGGGATACTTGCTCCATTGGGTATTCGAACTGGCTGACTAGAACAACCTGTAATATGCGGAAGCAAACAAGACTCGTCCATGGCAATATGTTCATTGCAACCGGAGTCTATTAACCATTCGGATGCGTTAGAAAACGAGAACATACCAGCCATGTGACTCGAGGGATCCACAGCACCCGAGAATTGGGCACCAAATTTTTTTTTTAACTGTTCCAGCTGCTGCGTCGTAAAGCCAGAGACGGGGCTGGAGTCTATCTCCGCCTGCGCAGCCCTCGGTTCCCGGCTGCTGCTGCGCGTTGGTCGCGCTTCTCGATTGGACTCCTGAGCACGCCGACGATTACCCCTATCCCGATCTCCTTGTTTGTCTCGCGGAGGGTATCCGATTAATTCATAACAGGTTTCCCGAACGTGGCCGATTTTGAGGCAGTGAGTGCATTGGGGTTTTTCTCGGTCGCCCGCCCCACGCTCTCTGTCCCTTGATCCACGTTCCCGTTGACCATGACCGCTCAAAGGAGCTTTGTCGAACTCACCTTGCGCGGCAAAGGCAGCCGCTTCAGGCACCGGCTTCCGTTTCTGGGTAAGTGTCTTCTGCTGTTCATCATTGTATACAATACGGAAAGCTTCGGGAAGGGTCGGCGGCACAGGCATGGACAATATATGACTGCGCACTGTGGAAAACGAGTCATCAAGACCCAGAAGAAAGTCCAAGAGCCTCAAGCTCTCGTTTTGATCGCGGCAGCGGCGGCCACAGACGCAAGTCGGCGGCGGGAGAATATTCTGGGTCTCTTCCCAGATTTTCCGCAGACCCGTGTAAAAGCTTGAGACAGAGTGCTTTTCTTGTTGGAGCAAACTGACATGGCGACGCAGCTCGTACGCCCGAGTCAGATTTGCTTTGCTAAAACTGTCACGGAGGTCTTCCCAAATTTCTTGCGCAGTCTTGGCGTGCATAACACTACTACGCAACTCCTCGTCCATGGCGGTACGGAGCCAGCCCTTCACCAGAGCATCACACCGCATCCAAGCAAGGGCCTGATTCGTACCAGCTTGAGGGCGCAGGATGGAGCCGTCAACGAAGCCGATTTTGTTCTTCGTGACGAGGGCATCTGTCATCTCCAGAAGCCATTCACTGTAATTCAGAGGCGTTAGCACACTGCTAACGTGTAAGTGTCCCGTACTATCCGACTGACGGATGAAGAAGGGATCAAGAACATCAGGCGCCTTGTCCGCCGAACTAGAACCTGAAAACTTCCCCGTTGGTGGGGTCTCAAGAGTTGAATCAACGTCTGACATCGCTGATCAGTGGATCACAGCTCTGATACTATATAAGATTTTGATAAAACGAAATACGCAACACACAATTTACGTGGTATCCCCGATGATCGGGACTAGTCCACGGGAGAGTTGAACTCTCCGGCTGAAATATTATTCACTGTAAACTTAGGGTTGGCCGCTGGCCTTACACATTGTTTTATACCCTTTGCAACATGATCCTAGGGCAATGCAATGTGGGCAATCTACTTTTACAGAGACGTGAGAAACAATGGGCTTCGCATCAGATGAGGTGCGGCCTTGGGCCTTTGCAACCGAGGAATGCAAGCCCAACTCCAAAAATCATCATCTCACCCGGACGGCACCGGCAGATCACCCCGACCCTGCAGCTTACCGTCGTCTGGTCGGTCGTCTGCTCTATTTGACGGTCACACGACCTGACATTACTTATGGAGTTAATATTCTCAGTCAGTTTGTTCATGCACCTACCCGTGCACATATGGAGGCTGCTCAGCGAATACTTCGATATCTCAAGGGAGCTCCTGGGCAAGGTTTGTTTTTCCCGTCCAAGAATTCCCTTGAGCTAGTTGCTTTTTGTGATGCAGATTGGGGTGGTTGTCAATCCACCCGCAAGTCTACTACAGGGTATGTTATCACCCTAGGAGGGGTTCCCGTTTCATGGCGAACGAAGAAGCAGCAGGTTGTGGCTCGTTCCTCTGCTGAAGCTGAATATCGCGCCATGGCAAGTACAGTTAGTGAAGTCCTTTGGCTCCGCTGGCTCCTCCAAGAATTGGGCGCTCCACAGCGTGGCTCGACAGATCTATATTGTGATAATCAGGCTGCCCTCCACATTGCAGCCAACCCGGTTTTCCACGAGCGTACTAAGCATGTGGAGATGGACTGTTATTTCGTCCGTGAGAGAGTCACCTCTGGAGACATTCGACCCTTAAAGATCAGTTCTCATTTGCAGCTGGCTGATATGTTCACAAAAGGGTTAGGTGCCGAGCGGTTTCAGTTTCTCCTGTCCAAGCTGCGTGTTCGCAATCTTCACGCCACAGCTTGCGGGGGAGTAATGGAGTTGGGCTTGCATTCCTCGGTTGCAAAGGCCCAAGGCCGCACCTCATCTGATGCGAAGCCCATTGTTTCTCACGTCTCTGTAAAAGTAGATTGCCCACATTGCATTGCCCTAGGATCATGTTGCAAAGGGTATAAAACAATGTGTAAGGCCAGCGGCCAACCCTAAGTTTACAGTGAATAATATTTCAGCCGGAGAGTTCAACTCTCCCGTGGACTAGTCCCGATCATCGGGGATACCACGTAAATTGTGTGTTGCGTATTTCGTTTTATCAAAATCTTATAATTACCATAAGTTAATAATTAATTATGTACTTAATTATTAGTCAAGGAAATCAAATCACCAACAAATGATGATGAATGTTGATGCAATACCATTAACGTCATATATGAGATATGTACACTCATAAATTATTAAAAAAACACATTTATTAAGAAGAAAGTGTGAGTGCATAATTAGAAGGAAAGAAAGAGGAAATTGTAGGTGACCTTAGCTTATCATTGGAATATTGCAGGTCGACACAAATAATTATTCATTATTTATTTTCTCATGCGCGTGATGTGTCATCTCTACAAATAAAAGTCAAATTTTTATAAATTTGAAGTTTGTACTATATATTGTTTGTGATTGACTGATTGTTACCAATGCTGACCATAAACTACAAAGAACCAAAAAAAAAAAAATCTATAAAAAAATCAAAACCAAAACGAAAGAGCAACAAACAGTGACACTATATATATACTTCTCATATTTAATTTAGAGTGTTGTCCAATCTATCCTAATTATATATTCAAGGAAACTCGGCCCCAGCCCCCAAGAATCAACCAGACTCAATCAAACAAAACTATACAACACAATTTGGTAGTTAGAATAGTTAAGTAGTGCTTAAATCAAACATTAACATTAAGTTCCATATCCAATATCCTCAATCATTATTCATGTTCATCATTTAATTACAAACATAATGCTTAATCACACTATAAATCCATGATAAGAAATTACCTAGAGATAGGGGAGAGTTACACAAGATATTGCTGGACAACTCTCTCCCTTCGTGATGCTGCATGACTCATATGGCAGGTCCGCAATCTCATGCTATTACAGAGGCGAGCAAGATCAGTATTGTGCTTCGCGAGAGTCAATTCACGATTTTATTCACCTTTCGGTACATATGATAGCTGAGGATCTATAGGCCAATTTTTTGAGCTAGTAATTACTTACCATCCAACAGCTCGCGTCTGACGATGAATACGAAAAATACGTGGCGTACAGATGGACCGAATTTGTACGTACACTGCTTGACTATATATTCTCGATATGGCGAGCTTTGAATCCGACTCCACGATTCGATAGCAAAAGCGGTTTGCGCATCCTCATTAGGAGCATATATATATATACGGATTAATTCTTATATATATTGGTAGTTGTATAACTGTATATGTGTGCGTATTTAGTAAGGGTGATGGTACGGGCAATTATGTGGATGACCATACACATAATTATAATAGCAATTAGCACCGTCTCTCCAATCAATCGCCGGCCCACTATTATTTCTCGTCGCTAATGCTCCACTTCCGTCGCTAGAAGGTTCGGTCTTCTTGTCGGGTTTAACATCGGCGACGCTCAAGACGTCGGCAAATCCCACTTTTTTCCTCAACAAGCACGCCAGCGTCACAGCGTCGATCCCTTCGCCGGTCACCGCTATCTCGTTCTTCTCTTCCATTATAGTCACCGACTCAACCCCTGTGAGTATTTTATGTACGAAATATTAGTTAGTACGTATGACACAATATCAAGAGAGGAAAATTTCATCATATTAAGCTTGTTTTGTATGCAAGCATAAGATTAATTAGGGCTAGCTAGGTAGCTGATTACTTGCAACAGAAACTGCGATCGTCAAGGCTTTGGTACGGCACTTGGGGTTGTTGTTCATGTTGGGAACCCTAACGACCACCTTTCTCTGCAGAACAAAGTAGAGTATATGTAGAGATATAAACAGATCGATCGAGAGCAACAAAATTAGAGCGTAATTAGATCGAATTGCATACCGTCATGATAAGGGTGCGAAACTACGTGTGTGTGTGTATATGTTGTTGTAAGCAAAGAAGGAGCTCGATTTCAAGGTGAGGAGGTATGGGTATATATATATAATCGTTCATATGTTTGGTTGTGTGGAAAATGCATGGCTGTACATTTTCCAAGCTTTTTTTTTTTTTTATCGGATGTCCCCGAAGGGACCTGTACATTTTCCAAGCAATTGTAACGAATCTCCGAGGAATGGTCGTTTGGGCCTAGACAGTACGTAGTAGCGGGCCCATAGTCATCACACGCCAAAGCCAGGACGGGAACTGGTTTTGATGTGAAGATGAAAGAGAAACAACCCGTCAATTTCATACAAGTGGGAATCAAATAGTTACATCGTCTTTATTTTATTACAACTTTTTTTTTTATTACAGTTACATCGTCTTTATTACAACCATTAGTTGTACTTAAAACAGTTTTAAAGAAGAAGTATATGGTACAAAACAAATATAAAATATAATTGCAATTTCCTACCACAATAAAGGAGGGGAGGGTAGGAAAATTTGGAGGGGAGGATAAGTTTGGAAGGGAGGGAAATTAGAGGGAATTGGAAAGAAAATGTTGTTTAATGGAGGAAAGTGTAAGGGAAAGTGGGAGGGAAAAAGTAGATTGGGAATTGTGATATGTATTATATTTTATTGATGATAGAATAGTTAAATAATTTAATTATGTGTTTATACTATTTACATTAATTATGTAACGTGGATCAAATTTGTTCTTCTTTGTTAATTTTGTTAACTACAACAAATCAAAAGTTGGTTATTTGAATGAAATTTGTCAACCTATTACTAAAATTTTGTTAACTATTTTATTGAGTAATAACATAGCAACTAAATATATAAACATACAACAAATTAAAGATACATAAATTTGAGGAGCGTAACAAGTTTTTATATCTCATACAACAGTGTTATGTATGGTGCAAAACAACGTTACGTATGAGGTAAATCATCTATCTTGTTTGGTAGGATATTTTTGTGCCGAAATCGTAACCAAAGCTTATTTGTTTTATATTATTTAAACCACCTATTGGTTTAGACTACAATAGGAGATTTTTTCCAGTCGAATTGTCGGTAAGATACATTTTTAAGACGTATGAAAATAGATCATTTGAAATTTACCCATTTGAATCAATTAAAAATTAGTCAACCTAAGTTACCCATTTGGAAAGTGTGACATATATGTTATTTATTAGTTATGTAGTAGTAAAATAATTGGTTATGTGTTGATGTTATTTTTGTTATTTATGAATAGTGAATTAAATTCATTCTTTCTTGCTAATTTAGTTTATTATTAAAAATATTTCTCAATTTAAAATCTCGTTCATTTTAATTCGATTTAAAATTTTATCATAAAAATTGGATTATCTCGACTTGTATCTTTTTCGCTCTAACTTGGATTTCAAAAATTTGACACAGATGGAACGCGTTCAGTGGTATCATTTGGTACCAGCTTCCATTTTTAACTAGAATTTTGATCTATTAGATCTACAAATTTTTCAAAAAAATGTCCAGGACAAAAAATACCATCCCGTTACAATGTGGTAATTGGTGGTATAAATAACGATTAATATATTTCTACTATGTTTGATGTAATATATTTCTACTCCCGAACATAATGCACTTATGCGTTAGGTAGATTAGTGTTTTATTATTACTTTTTATTATTCATGTATTGCAGAATAATATTTATTTCTTTTTATTTGATTCAATATTTGATTCAAGTAAGAGCTTCCGTGATTATCTTTGCCTACAACCACTAATCATTATCATCTTTTCCCAATTATGTTTAACCATAAACATCAATTGTTAAATAAAAAAACAAACAACGTTGATCACTTACTACTTTCCGTAAGTGATAAATACTAAAAAACCTTTAATTTAAGGAAAGAGAAAAGAATTAATTTTAGTATAAACAAATAAAATAAACTCACGTAATCTCACTTACTAATATTTATTTATTATCATTAAACAAGGAAAGAAAAATGATAAACGGGGAAAGAAGAAAAAAAAGAAAGAAAGAGAGCGTTGGAGAAGGAAGTTTTCCTTTCAATTCGGAGGGTCTGGTTGCACAGGAGATTTTATCTTCTATTTTCTTTCTCTCCTTACTGTTGCTAGCTTCGAAAATGGGGAAAGCTTTTTGAAACTAACGCTTTCCTTCCATTTCTTTCCTTCCCCTCCTTTTCCTTCCCAAATGAACATAGTGTAAAACTACACCGTTTTAGTTCCATCACCACCCTCAACCTCAAGCATGGATGTGCTGATGTTTCATAGCTCGAAATTGAGATATTGAAACTGAGTAAGAGGCAGTGGCTTGGTGAATGTTTCAGCCAATTGATTGGTGATGTCAGATATGCATCACCTTAATCACAATTGATGTTTACTTCTAAAAATTAAAAATTAGGGTTAATATTTTCGTATGGCCTGAACTTTGACCAAAATAAACATCATGGCCAATCTTTTCGATCTATAACATCCTGGCCCGAACTATACACCAAAATAAACAATTTGGCCAAATCCGATGTTTGACCGTTAACTTGGACGGCTAAACGCGTTAACTAACGGTCAACGCGCCACGTCACTGCCAAATCAGAAGATCTAATAAATATTTAATTTTTTTTTGTTTTTTATTTTTTGTTTAACTAAGGTATTAGATGATTTTTTTTAATTATAATAATTTAAAATTAGGGAATGTGTGGAAATTGTGAATTATTTTAAATATTTTATGCTGACTTGGCAGTGACATGGCGCGCTGACTAACGGTCAACGCGTTTGACCGTCCAAGTTAACGGTCAAAAGTCGGATCTGGCCAAATTGTTTATTTTGGTGTATAGTTCGGGCCAAGATGTTATAGATTGAAAAGATTGGCCTGGATGTTTATTTTGGTCAAAGTTCAGGCCATACGAAAATATTAACCCTAAAAATTAAGAGTAATGTCTATTTTTCATTCAAACTTTTTTTAGATTCTTTTATATTATCCAAACCTATTAAATGCTATTAATTAGTCAAATCTTTCGTAATGCATCAAAATATTAGTCATTTTTACGTTATTGTTAATAATTTTGTACCTCTTTTCTTAGTTAAAATACTAAAATTTTGGAATGTTGACCTTCATGTGTCTCTTACAAGTCAGTATCATGTTTGCCAAGTCAATATTACTAACAAAATTGCTAACTGAAAGTTAAAATTTGGTTAATTTTTAGTATTTCGATAAGTTTGATTAATAAAAAAGAATCCGACTGCTGTCTTCCTCGGCGAGGCCCTTCGCCTTCTGTCTTCCTCGCCGTTGTGCGACTGTTCGCCACCTTTTCTCCGGCGGTTGGTGCTCCGATGCTCTCTTTTGGAGGGTTTAAATGGCCACTGATTCAAGCTCGTCCATATCTGTTGATGCAAATCTTCATCTCTGGCCCGTTCCGTTTCTCCCCTGCTGTTGCTATGGCTTCAAGATCGGTGATTTTCTCTGATGCGACGGTGGCCGTAGCTGAAGACCGCGCTGATTTGTCTCTGATTGGCAAGGTTTTCGGCCCTGCACCCATTGTTGCCAGTATGCAGTCTTTCCTTGCAGATATGTGGCGATGTGAGGGTTCGCTGACCATTCTGTCTCTTAGCGTTGGTTTGCTTGGATTTGTCTTCTCTGATTCTTCGGATTTGTCTCGGATCCGTGACGGCTCTCCATGGATTCAGCCGCGTTATATGATTCATGTTAAGTCCTGGGAGGAACCGTCTTCTACTGTTGGGGAGTCTCTCAACCTTGTTCCTCTTTGGGTGCAATTCTGGAAGGTTCCTTCCCATGGCCACACAGTTCTTATGGCTCGCTGTCTGGGCTCCGCCCTAGGCGATCTGAAGGCAGCAGCGGTCCACATCGGCAGCAACTCTGGTGGCGTCTACCTCCGTGCGAAGGTGGCCATTGATGTGGCGGCTCCGCTTCCTGTTTCGGTTACAGCATCTCATGAATTCCAGGTCCGAAATCCGTTCGAGGCTCTGGTGCTCTGTGAACGACTTCCCCTGTTCTGCTTTAATTGCGGCATGATTGGTCACCCTCGGAATCGCTGTGATCGTCCTGATGCTATGGCTGCTGGTGACGTGCCTCCTTATGGTAAAGATCTGCTTGCTAGAGACAAGGGGCCGCGTGTCAACGAGCAGACCCTTCGTCGGCGGTTGGCTCATTTCTCCTGAAGGCGTCTGATGGAGGGTTCGGCGATTGGTCGTCGTTCAGTGGTGCTCGCTTTGCCTGCTCCATCAGTTGCTACAGTTCCGGTGGTGGAGGATTTTCAGCGTATGTCTCTTGATTCTCCTTTGGGAGTGGAAGCCGGTTCTCCCACCGCGGGTCGTGTTCGCAAGAGAGGAGAGTTGGGGGAGGAAATGCTTCCTTCCAATTCCAAGTCTCAGTGTGTGGAATCTGCTGATCTTTCTGTTTTGGCTGACAATCTCATGGGATGGAGGACACCGGCCCTAATCGGTCCCATTTGGTGCCATGACTATTCTTTTTTGGAATTGTCGGGGTTTCGGCAAGGCCCTGCTCGTAAGGCGCTGCTTGCTGCTATCAATTCTCGCTCTCCGATGATTGTGTGTCTTTGTGAAACAAAGTGTCGTGATAGGAAAGTTGTTTCGCGTCTTTGTCGTATTGGTTTCCCGAATAATGACCTCGTTAGTCCTGTAAATACTACTGGGGGTTTCGTAGTTGCTTGGTCTTCGGAGGTTCTTGCACTGTTACCTCGAAGTCCCAAGCTTCTATGTTCGTAGAATGTGTTCATTCTGTTTATGGTCAATTTGTGTTGGTGTTTGCTCATCTGGATTGTAATGAGAGCACTCGTTTGGTGCAATTGAATGAAATAAAGGTTGCTCTCTCGTCGCTTGTTATTCCTTTTTTAGTAATAGGTGATTTCAATTATCTCATGTGTTCTTCTGAAAAGCAAGGTGGTCGCTTTCCTACGCTGGCGGCTTTGGTCCCGCTGCAATCTTTTGCGACTAACCTCTCTTTACATGACCTTGGATTTCAAGGACCACCTTTCA